GCTAAATATGAACCAAATCGGACTATAAATACGGGGTTTTCAAATATCTCGATTCCTGCGCCACCTATCGGATTAACTCATCTTTCATATTGTATTGTCATAGGGTTCTGCTCGCGTGGTATGCCTGAGGTCCCAGATTTAAGTTATGGCGTAGGGAAATTTTTTTATTTAATTTTTTTTATAATTTTTTTATTTAAGTTTTTATTGTAATTTCTAGTTAGGGTTTTTATTGTAATAATTAAATTTAATTTTCAAGTGTCTTTTTTTATAGCACAAGCATTTCTTCTCATATGTAACTTTTTTTCTGCAATGCAATTAGATTTTCAAATTTGTTTTTTTATATTTAATTTAAATTGAAATAATTATTTTTTTACCATTGATTTAAGTTTAAAAATCGTAAACACCTCCAAGCGGCCTCGAACCTGCGATCTCAGAACCAGAACCAGTTGCTAGTCTTCACGTGACGCTACAGCCGACATTTGTAAGAAAAGCAATTAATTGCGTTTAATTTTTGCCTTTGGCAATTCAAAGGCAGATATCGCTGCATGCACGGTTATCTTCTTCGAAATTGTCGAACTGGTAGGCACATACTAGTTAATGAACTAGTATTTTTTCTAACTGGTTTGGCTTTTCACTGCAGGGAAGTTAAATAAAAGCTTGTAAAAAAGAGTGAATGCACTACACATTAGCCCTTGTTTTTTTTTTGACATCACAATTTACAACTAAAATTTTATTTTATATTTTTCAAGAAATTGCTTAAAATCCTCAAACGGTTAAGAGACACTGGAGACAAATCTCGTAATACGTGTCTGAACAACCTTCCCATCACAAAGCCGCTTTAGCTCTTCAGGTCTTTGACCAACAAACGAAAAAATAACTCCAAACCTCGGTACCCTAATTCATTTAGTTAGAAGCTCAGCTTACCACACGTCCATTAAGCGCCGTGCAGACGTTTGCCCAGGATTATGTGACATAAAGCTCACAAAGTTTATCCTTTCTCTCAAGAGAGAGGAGGCTAAGCTAGTGGTTGGTGTTCTAACGGGACATTACCTGCTGGCCTTTGAACTGGCTCTAATCAATGATAAGATCTGTAGGTGATGCATAACGAAAGAGAAGACAGTGGAGCATATCCTCCGCGATTGACCTGCCCTTAGCAAATAATGGATTAGTCTCATGGCAACAGGCTTTCTGCCTTATCTGCCGCAAGGAACGGTACAACAAGCTGTTCCAGTTTGCCAAAAGGACAAACCGATCGGACTTGAAAGCAAGATTTGACGTGTCTGAAAGGGGTCAAGAATGCTGGGAGCATAGCTCTTACACCTTTCCGCCGAATCTTTATCTCTCTTCAGATGGTTCTGCGAGACACCTAGTCCTTAAGCCCATAATAAACTCTTCCCCTTCCCTCTTTATCGCCAACCGGACTAAGCTAGATACAAGTATGTATGTGTTTCGAAAGCGTTTTTATAACTATCCATTATCCATAACTATTATTTTGAGACATACATATATGTATATTAGGGTGATCCAGATAAACTAACCTAAGGAATTTATGGCCTTTAAAGGAGCTATTTTCTGAGAAGAAAATTCTACCTCTGGGAAAATTTGTTATTCGAATTTTGAGTAGTGTTGGTTGTTTTAGAGACGAACGAGGTATAGCATTGATAGACAGTTATAATCGAACTGTGACGAAAGACGAAGAACGAAAGCAATTTGTTTTGCAAGTAGTGCAACTACATCGCCAGCAACATTCTAATTGCAATAAATGGCATTTTATTAATAATAAAAAAAAAATATTAATGTTTAAAAATGCACTGAAATATAAATAACTGGATGAAACCTCTTTCTTCTCTGACAAATCTAGTTCATAACCAACATTTTCTATACATTCTCTATATTTAGTGTAAGCTTTTTTCTTGTAGCATGGGAATTTGCACTAATAATACCTTAAAACTGCATATTTCTGCTTTTTTCGACTTTCATAGCCCGTAAGTATATAAATGTTTAAGTCTAGACAATTAATACCAGGGACATTTTTTAGGGAATTTAATGTCCTACAAGAACGTGCCCAGACAAATTTTTTATCTCAACCAGTTGAGTAGTTATGGCATTTTTAATGAAAAAAAAAACAATATTTTTTATATTATTTACATGGAAAATTTCAAATGGCCGCCGAAACCTTTTAAATTGGAATAAAAATTTTTCCAAATAGGAGAATTTTCATCTCAGTAAATAGGTCCTTTTAAGGCCATAAATTCGCTGGGTTAGTTTTTTTGAATCACCCTAATATATATGCATACATACGGTGGCGAAAGTGTTAATATGGGAGACATTTTGGCAAGTTTTGGTTATTTTTCTTTGTTTAAAATAAGTTTATTATTTTTTATGGAAATATAGCCTTTTATTTTGTAAGCGGCATTAGTCTCTAAAGGTACTGGCCCAATGCAGGCTTGCTTTGCTTGCTTCGCTTTAAGAACTGTCAAAAGTTATTGGGAATATATTAAAACGTATGAAGGCTGGCCAATTGGCAGCTTTGGTTCACTTGCTTTAAGCGCCTCAAAGTTTCAAATAGGCAAATGTTTTATTTGAAAGCGTTTTGTAGGCTTTTGACACAAAGGTATGTTCCCGTTCCTAATGAATTCAAACAAACTGCTGTACATTTTTATGAACAAAAGTTTGCTGACGTAATTAAAAAAAATATATAATATAAGTAATTCAAGGTTTAATAAAAATGATTCTATGTTTCCATATTTATATTTAACATATCTCTGGCTGAAAAGTTGCTAAGTCCATTTTTACAAATTTGACGTGAACTTTGAATACAACATTTTGCGTCTTTGAAGAAAAGCAAAACTCAATACGAATCAGAAGGATTGGATCTTTATTAAAATATTTCGTATTATATTAGCCTTAACGGATTTTCGGGGCCTCTTTTGGACTTAGAAAATTTGGCTTTCATTGATCATAAACGAGAAAAAAAAGAAGTACCTTAATTTCTCTTGCTTCCTTTATCAAAATATCAGGTTTCAAAAAAGGTGGACTAAGCAGCTTTTCACACAAAGCTAGCGATATTTATAATGTCAAACTGCTGGTCAGTCGTCTCTGAAAAAAACTGTTTTTTTTTTTTTAATGTACATATATTTATAGATGTATAATTATTATCATTCCTTCGAAATCTAAAAATTAATTCACATTAATTTAAAAATAAATCCGAAAAGATTGTTTTTTATTTCTTTTTTTTTAATTTTCTGGAATTTTGTGGGAAAATTATTCTTAGTGTAAGGGAACAGACCTTGATTTTTTAGCTAGACAGCTGGTAGCTTTGACAGCGTTCCAAGCCGCCATTTGGCCAAACGAGTATTTGAAGTAAATCAAAGCAAATTAACGTAAGTAAGGCATGCAAAGCAAGCCTGCATTGGGCCAGCGCCTTAAGTATCGTAATAAACTAGCAAAAAACCCTTCTACCTTTTGTTGATGAAGTTGAACGAATAACCGACGCGTTTAAATACAAGTAACCGGTCATTTAAGGACAAGCGGAGTGAAGTGACTTATGCCACTTTCAAAAAAAAATAAAATAAAAATTTCAAACTTTGTAGAACATTTATAAAATTTTCACGAATTTTTTCAAATGCTCATCTAAATTTTAAATTTTTGGATCAGATTTTTTATAATTTTTTTGGGTATGCAGTTTGTTTACGAATTTTCTTCCGTATTTGAATAATGAATATACAATTTATTATCAACGAAGAGTTGATTTACAAATTACGCAATGCAAAAAAACTACTCGTACAAAATAAATTAATAACAAAAACCGTAAAGAAAACATTAAAAAATATCACATGAAAGCTGTTTAGAACATCATTGACATTCTTATCACCATTCCCTAACATTATCAACAGTTAACATATAATCATAAATAATTTCATAGCCTATAACGTACGTCGTACGGTATCGGTCATATCTATAGGCAAGGGCGTAGCCAGGTAGGGGTAAGGGAGGGGGTGGGGAGTAGCATTGGCAACTTTTTCACAAGAAAGTCTGCGTATCAATTGTGTGCTGCTATAACAAGGCGGATGTTCATCTTTGCTTTAATAACAATTGCTAAATATTCTACGATGCTGGAACCTATAGCACACATTTTGCAAATTAAGATAATAACTAGATCTCATTGCGCTGTTCAGCATATTGAAAATATTATGGAATCATCGCAAGAATGCAGAAAGAGGCACCACGTACGGAGTAAATTAAAAAAATCTTGTTTGATTACAGCCGTTCTAGGAGTAGAAAATTGGTACTGGCGACGGTCTATAATAAAACCGTATCTGGATTCACTAATGGCATCTTTACAACTACGCTTTTCCAATGAAAATATTCCAGCTTTTTCGCTGCCTAGATTGCACCCATTGTATTCGATTAAAGCTCTATCCGGAATTGCAGCGGACGACGGTAAAGCGGTCGACGGTTAACCTCTGTCAAAATTAAAACTCACGAAGGCATATGGAATGGCTCATAATTACGGTGGCAGCGTTTTTACCACCGATATTTTTCGCTTGATTTAAATTTACTTATATTTCTACCGTCCAGCGGGGACGGTACAATGTTGAGTGAGTGTTGATTGTAGTAGTTTTTATTATTTTCACAAGTTTGCCAATGTTTTCATCAATTTTTTCTTCCAGAAAAACTACATATCGGCGGCTGAAATACAAAAAGACGTAACAAAATCGCAACTGAAATGGAAAAAGTCGTTACTAATATAAATATATATATTTTTTTTTATAAAATGATGTGGGGAGTTGTAATTAGATGAAATCCTTCATATAAATCAAGAAGTGCATTTTGAATTACATATTTATTACATAGTTATGACTTTTGCATTTCAGGTGACGATAAGTACAAGCACGTACCGAAAAAATATTCAATTTTCATTAAAATTTTCAAACCAAAATTACAACTGGACGGAAGCCGTCGTGCGCCGCAGTTGTGTTTACTCTGACGGATTTCACTGCGGCAACTACCGTCGTCCGCTGTAATTTTGGGTAGAGCTTAAGTGTTCCAGTGAAAAGATACAAAAGAAAGCGAATCATATCCAACAGATTAATGATCTAGTTATTGGCAGTGAACTCATTCGTTGGTACAATTTATAGAAGAAAGAGAAAAAGACTTTGTCCGAAGAAGATTTGAAGGATGTTGAAGTTGTTGATCTATTTAAAGAAGAAAACGAATTTCTACCAGCGATAAATAGGTGTATTTCTATTTTGAGCACTTTTCCATGCACAACAGCGACCGTGTAGCGATCGTTTAGTACACTTCGTAGAGTAAAAACCTGTCTCAGAAGCAAAACAGGAGAAGAAAGTCTTTCAGGATTATAACTCATGAGCGTCCATAGAAAACTCGTTACCGAAAACTGCGAGATGGTTCAGAAGGAAATAAACGAAAGTTTGCTGAAAATGCGAGACGGTTGTTATTAGCGTAAAAATGATTAAATAAAAATATATCAAAAAAATTTACAAATATATTTCGTTTTCTCCCCTTACATCAGATCTTGACTACGCGCTTGTCTATAGCAGTCCATTTCAAAGTTATATAAAGTTTGCCACTTATGGTTATTTATTTAATTTTAAGAATTGTCAATTAAATCACAGTTCATTCTTAAACAAAACCCATATACTTAAACCAAACTTTAAAACTTTGTAGAAACTTACAAAAAAATGCAAAAAATTTTCTACCAAATTTCAAAATTTTTTCTCAGGAGTGCCAGAATTTTTTTGATTATACAATTTTATAGCCCATTCAATTTTAGTGTGGTTGATTTTTTAGAAATCTTTTGCCGAAGCAAATGCGAAAAAAATTCTTAAAAATCGACGGTTGTTTTTGGCCACTTGCACTGTGCATCTTCAAGGTTTTGTTACAGAATGATCTGTATTTTAATTGAAAATTCTGAAAAATAATAAATATATATTGCAAGGAAAGGGAATTTACCTGCTTGAGCGTTGAGTTTTTCCGACTTTAAATTATATATATAAAAAGTCTCGAAAAATATCTTAACTAGTCCCGAAATAGCCCTGAACAAGTTCCGTCCTTTAAGACTTAAAACTAGTTTATGTAATTATAAAGGCTCGATATAATATTTAAAGATGACTTAAACAATTTCTCTCTCTCTCATAATTACGAGTATTATAAAAGGACTTTTATGTATAATTCTTAAAAAAAAAATTTGATGAAATTTTTAAGACTACACCGTGAAATAATTATTATTCTGGGTCGCTGGTTTTATTTACTAAGCTTAACCCATTATGAAAATGACCAAAACATTAAAAAACTTTCAATCTTAATAGTTCTTTCTACATTGCTTTCTTTCTTTTCTACCTTTTCAGGAATCGTACCTGTGACTTAACAAATTTTACATAGAAAATATATGCACATTCGAATAACTTTCAATAATCTCAGAATAAGTGTTTCGTGTTTACTTCGTCCTGCAATGGACGGCTTTAACGTTCCAATGTTGTCCGATAATGGCTATAGTAGTAACAGTAGCAACAACACACCACAAACACATACACATCATCACAAAGATCAAATGCTTAGTGCTGGCAGTGCCCCAGCCACGCCATTCATATACGATCATCCCGCCAGCCATAAAGGAATCAACCAAGTGTCGGTCAGTTTGAAGTCCACCAACGACTATGCCACCTTCACCAATTGCATTCAACAATCCGCGTTGCTCGATCACCGTACAGTCGATGCTAATATCGATGGTGTTTCGCTCAGCAGCCTATGTGACCTGAAATTTCCCAGTTCACCTTCGGGTGATAGTAATTTTAAGAATATTTCACTTATAAATATCGAGGCTAATCAGGTGCTAGTGCCAGCGAAAGGTATCGCTGCAAGCGATTTGATTACCGATGGCGTCGGCAATGGCATCGAGCCGACCTTTTCAAATATTTTATATGCCAAGGACGACGTTGTCATAGAAACGAAGGATATGCGCGTCGACTGCGACGCAGCTCAGGTGACACACGTGACGCACTACTTACCCCTGAAAGCCATCAATGATGCTGAGACGAAGTTTCCAAAGGCCACAGTCACGGCCACGGCTGCTGCTGATGCACCAACGGTGACTCCGTTGAATGCCAGTGCAATGGCTGGGGTGCAGACGGTCAGTACAAAGCCGAGTGCTGGGGATGGTGGCGGCAGAAACAACAACAACAACAACACCAGTGGTCGCATGAAGCGGGGAAATGCTGGTAGTAGAAATGGGCGCACAGCTGCAAATCGCCAACGACAACAACAGCAGCAGCAGCAACAGCTGTTACAACAACAACAGCAGCAGCAGCAGCTACAAATACAGCCAGCGGAAGCTATAACTCACACTGTAACAACGGCAGGGCGTGGCGACTACTTGTCACCTAGTAGTCTTAACGTTTTCGTGACGGATAACCAGGCGTTAAGTGATTTCCACAACAGTTCAGCTGATAATCGAATCACAACAACAACGTCCACAATAATAACCACTGCCACTGCCAGCAGCAAGAGCATCACAACAAATGCCAATAATAATTTCATTGCCAGCAATCATAGCCAGATTGCCAGCGGTAGCTGCAGCAATGCCGCCAACACCACCAATACCAATAGCACTAATAATAACAGCAATAACAACTGCAACAAAAACAATGTACAAAATATGAACAGTATTGCAACAATGGGGCATAACCGGGCAACAGTTTTGCAGCCAGTTGTCGATGAGACGAAAACGTTGGGCTCACCCACCCAGCAGCAGCCAGGTCAGCAACAACAGCCACGACGGCCTGCTGCAGTAATCGTATCCACCTTGTCGAAAGGCAGCTGCATTAGCAAAAGCAATAGTGTCAACATAAATATCAATCATGCCAACAACAATAGCAATGTAAGTGGCAACAATAGCACAATGTCACCGATTTCTATAGATGCTGCCACAGAGCCAGAGATACAACAGTCACCACAGCAGCAGCAGCAGCAGCAACAGCGGCAACAACAGTTGCAACAAATGCATTCAGCAAATGTTAGCACCGAATGTGATTCACTATCGTCCATGGATATGAGCGATGGTAGTTTTGGTGAGTATTTTTTGTTTTAACAAAAATTTATGCATTTTCTTCTATTGTTGTTGGAATATATTTATTTAGAGTTGGCAATATTCTGTTGGTGTTTAGTGATTTTTCAGGTTAATAAAAAAAACCAAACGAACATAAGGATTGAAAAAAATCGCGATACTTCGTCAAAGTGTTAAAAAAAAAATAACAAAAAAAATTTCTCAAATTAAGTAAAAATAAATACATAAATATATAAAATAACTTGCCATAAAAAACTTAATTTTTTAGATGAACTAAACAAGGAAAAATTATAAATGGAGTGTAATTGTTCGATAGCTTAAAAATTCCGAAATTTATCGCGACAAAGAAAGAATGATTGTGCTCCACCATCAATAAATAAACGAAGTTTTTAATATTATGCCATATATTTAAAATGTTGGCATAAAATACAACAACTACTAGATAAAACAACCAAACTAGGGTCAGGGTTGAACTTTAATTTAATTTGTTTTTCATATTTTTGCATAAGGCTTTAAAGTAAGAACTGGCCATCGATTTTTCTTAGCTGAAAAAATCATAAATTTTTGGTTATTACTGAACATAGATTTTTAGTAACTTAAAAGCTGGGCATAAAAATATGTGGGAACACAAAAATTGGACATTATTTTGTGAATTTAGAAGTTGGACATAAGTAAATTTTTGAATAGTTAAAACTGTAATATTTTTTATTTTTTTTGTAATGTTTTCTACATTACATTACTGGACTTAAATTTTTGGTGACTTAAAATTGGACATTATTTTTCGTAATTCAAAACTAAGGCATACAAATATGGGCATTTAAACGTTGACAAAGTTTTTATTAACTTATAAACTGAACATCAATTTTTATTAACTTAAAAGCGGGGCATAAATATATGGTAACATAAAAACTGGATATATATGTTTGGGTATTTAAAAGGTAGACGTAAAATTCTTGGTTAGTTAAAATTGGAAATATTGTCACTAAACCCAATATGTTCATGAAATACCCGTTCTTTTGCTGCTATCTGGTAAATAACAAGAGGTAGAGAAAAATTGTAAATCACAAAGTTGTAGGCCATTTAATTTCCTACAAAACAGTTCTGGAACCCCAAATCGCTAATATCGATAGTTCTTGAGATATTGGGCTTTGAATTGAGGTACTGCCGTTCTGCAGTATGAGTACGGCCGTCATTCTGCTCTAAGATAGGCCACCAAACGATTAAAGTATAGAGAAGTATAGGTCTGACTACTGCAGTAAAGGGTGACAGCAAATAATATGCACTAAAGTTTTTGTTTCATAAACTTTTTAAACGGAAACAATTCATAAAAAAAACTATAAATAACTGGTTTCAAAGTGGCCCCCTTTGTGGCGATACAGAAGTCTAAACGTGATTAAAAATTTCGACCATGGGCGTAGGTTTTGTGGAGAAAATTTTTACCATTCTCTAAGCTGCGATTGCTTCAGTGCCTCCAAACTTTTGGTGGCGCTTAGCACATGCTCTGGCCTCAAAAATCAATCACACACTTTATTCCATTTAAGCTCCGGCGAGTAGGGCGGTCACTCCGCATACGAGCTGAAGTCTGCGCCATTCTCGCTTTGTTAAAACGTCAATTCCAAATCGCCGCAGTCCTGCTGTGCATACGGATTCGAGAACGTCGCGGCGATACACCCCCAGATTGTTCTTGCCTTGAAACCAGGGGAGTCCGCTGCTGGCGCAAATTATGCCCAGACCATAACTGACTGCGGATTTGGAGGCATTCGACAATCGCTGAGGTACCTGCAATCGCTGGTAAAGAGAATGTGCTCCCATCGATGATTTGCAGGCTCGACGCTTAAGAGTTCGACATCTTTGGACTCGCACATGCTTTTTTTTAGTCCGTGAGGAGCTAAACTTTTTGGAGCTTGTACGCCTTGAGATTTAGGTCCTTTTTAGCTACTTGCCGCACCGATTTACGGTTGATCCGGGTCTCGCGAGCGATTTTTCTCATGGATACCCTCGAATTTCGTTGAACTCGCTTTGGAAGCATTGAAGGGACGCTTTCGTCCTTTTCTGTAACGGTCGTCGAACCGTCGAACTGCAACTGACACTGTCATTTTTGCAACACCAAGCAAGTGAACAATTTCACATTTCAGTACAGCTTTTTATCAGGGATTATGCCAAGATACCTAGCATATTCGCTTAGATTATGCGTCACAGTTTTATGTAAACTAAAATATACTGAAAATTTTTAAGCTCCAGTAATTTTGTAACTAAATTTTCTTTTTACCAGTACATTCTTTTACAATCACAGCACCTTTGCATGCCAGCCAACGCTTTAAATCTTTAACCCAGTTTCTAGTACTCTAAAGCCCTTTATCCTTGAAATGCTTTAAAATCTGACCTTTCCTCAGCGTGAAAGAGAGAAAAGCCTTTAAGTCAGCTTTTTCCAACGCTAAAAACAAAACTAGTAGAAAATAACAAATTTGCTTGCTAGACAAGGTTGCCGTTGCTGCCAGTGATCGGACTCCTACCACATTGTGGTAGATGTGCCACTTTTTTGAGCATCTACCACATGTACCACACAAGGTCTGAAATCTACCACATATTCGCGTTTTTGAGTAGCTTTATTTTTGCTCGACATAATTTTCTTAATTTTAAGAGCAAAAATTGTCCAACACTAAACACTAACAACAGGCAGAATAAACTGTAAAATAGTAAATTTTCTCAATATTCAATTTTTCGACTGGAAACGTGGTTTTATTGTGTTAAATTGCAAAATATATGATTTATAAAAAGAATTAATAGCGAAAATGAAACCGGCGATTTTTGTGAAAGTATTAGCAAATTTCAGTGCATCTAAAGTTTCTAAAACGTGGTTTACTTCTACTTGAGAATTGTCAAAATCGGCAAATCCCAAGTAGCGGTTTCTGGAACGAGCCACATTTGTTCGCTACATCGTGATGTGATAAAAAGAAATGCTGGCAGCACTCCGCAGAAATCTTTCAAAATATGATTCGAAACTGTCAAGGAAGCAAATTGCCAAAACTCAACGCAATTTTTAGCAACTTCAATCTTGCACTTTATTATACTAAAATTAATTTTGTTTGCAATTTAGGTGAAACCTTGCAGAATTTTTTTAATTTTTGTACAAAGTTTGATCGAAAACCTGAGATCTACCACATTTTTTTTAAATCTACCACCATTTTTTCCTGATTCTACCACACACATTTTTTTTGAAAGTCCGATCACTGGTTGCTGCTGCTGCTGTCGCCGGTGCAGTTGTGCGCCGCTGCGTATTATGTTTTGGTTTCAAATTCTATGCATTTATCCAATAATAATAGACGTCGCACATATTGAGGACCTTGCAAACGATGCACTTGTAAAAATTGTTATGCTTGCTGCAATAACAACAGCAACAACAACAACAACAACAACCACAAAAACAACATGCAATTAATGGTGTGTTGGCCCAATTCAACTTGGGTGGTGGCCTTGCTGTGGCTATTTGATTTGTTAGCGTTGACATTGACCCATTTCCAGGTGTCGCCAGCGACGGCGACGATTAAGTGAGTGAGTGAATACGTGTGCGTGTGTCTGTTTGCGGCGACGCGCGAAAAGTGTGTCAATGTCAGACGGCGGCGGCAAAGGCATTAAATGCAACTTAGCAATGCAATGCAGTGGCGGAGGCAGCGACTGCAGTAGTTGTGCATGCGAAAGCGAAAGCTAGATGGCTGGCTGGCTGGCTGGCTGGCTGGCTGGCTGGCTGGCTGGCTGGCAAGCTAAGCCGCCCGACTGCTAGGCGTGAAGCCGATTCGCAGCGCTCATTCTTCTGCTTGCATTTGAAATTTGTTGCTGCTGCTAGCTGCTTGCTTGCATGTCTAAAAGTTTAGTCTGATGAATTGTATGTACAATATGTACAGTATGCATGTACGTGCATAAATGTGTATGAAGCCGTAGCGCTGTGTGCGCGCATATGTACATATATAAATACCGACCAAATGACCTCCGTTGCAATGCATCCTTGTATTCAATCTCCAATATTAGAAGCGCCGCACTGCACTTGACCTAAATTGAAAGCGTCATGTTCCAATTACGATTCTGAATGAGCGTGCGAGTGTAACAGCAACAGTAGCAGTGTGTGCAAGTGCAAGTGCAAGCGCTAGTGAGCGGTGTTGACGTGCAACAATGCGGTTGCACTAAAAATGAAAAATTATATCTACTAACAAATCAGCGGTTGACGCGCGTCGCCGTAATAGTTAGAACAACAACCGAAATAGTCACGCCGAGTTGTACATACATTGAGTAGATAGCGCGCGCTTGATACACGTAGCGCGCGCGCGGAAGGCGAGCGGTCTCTAGGCGACCTTGTGCCATTTTTGTTAAAATACAACGAATGCGTGCTAAGGATAAATATGCATAGTATGTAAGTATGTGCAGTGCCGCGTCGCGCCGCGCATCTGTCTGAGCGTGAGCGTCAGCAGTGGCAGTGGCAGTGACAGTGGCAATGATAGTTGCAGCGGCATTAGAGAAAAACTAATGAAAACAAAAAAAAATAAAAAATTGATTGCAATTGCGGTCGTCCGCCACACTCAGTCGCAGCGTGACAACACACAACAGCCTACTTGCATAGATATGCAACTTATGTATGTGCATGCCGCTTGCGACGTTGACCCTGAATAACTAGCGACGCCAACTTGTGTCTGGTGCTTTTTTTTTTGTTGTCGCTGCTGCACTCTCCATCTTGACGCTGCCTAGTTCTTATCACTTTTGAAGTGTGTCGAAGGTTCAAATGCTACAAACTGTATTACTTTAGTTATTTTCTATTCTAGATGTGTATTTTTTCCCCTGCATGTATGTAATACGAGTTAGCTGGCGCAACTCTAGCTATTGTTGGATCTGGTTATGTTGATGGCGGCGGGCGGCTGAGGCGGCAAAGAGCGCGTACATGGTGTATCTTAAATGCTCCATGCACCACTAATTGATATTTGCAACATTCAACGCACACACACACACACACACACACTGAGTCGTTAACTCACTCAAGAGCATACGCACTAAACCACACCAGCCGCACAATGTCACAGCGCGGCATAGACATACTATAATCACAATTGATGACATTGATGGATGTCACAGTGGCTGCACAGCGCACAAACGTACATATTGATGAGACTTGTTGTATGTGTATTGGGGCGCATAGTTTGTGGTGTGGGAGGAAATTATTAAATTCTTTTATGCAATGTCCATTTGTTGGCCTTGGAAGTGAGATGCTTGCTGCTGAAATAGTTGTAATGAGTTTTAACCTTCTCAGGACTAAAAGCCTATAATAAAAAATTCTCTAGATTTGAGTTGTAAAATGTGATTCATCGAGGACTAAACAAACAAATTCTGATATAAAAACGAAGTTGTTTCAAAAAATTCTATCAAGTTTTTTTCCAGAAAAAGTTTTCCCACACAATAAATAATTTCTTCTCCATACATTAGAGTAATTTTTTTCTTTTATTTTGTTTCCTTCAAAAATTATTTTGCGCCTCATTATTGTTTTCGAAAAAATTAATTTTACCCCCAACATATTTTTTACCAAATAAAGGCAGTTTCTTAAAAATTTTGTATCCTCTGAAATAGTTTTTGTTATTTTTACTAGCAAAAATGATTTTTCCCGAAAAATATACTTCCAAAAATATTTGTTTCTAATGTTATTGTTGTTGTGCCATTATAATTTTTATTTCAAAAGTGTTATTGGTTTTTATACAACGATTTGCATTTTCCATTTTCATAAAAAATAAGTCGTGGTATACAGCTCAGCAACGCTGTTGTTTCTAATACGGTAAATTTTTTTCCTATATTATGTTTTTTTAATATTTTGTATTAAAAGAGAATTTTTGAAATAGATAGTTTTTTTAGATTCGAATTAAAAAAAAAATTCTGAAATAGTTTTTTACATTCTAGTTTAAAAAAAAAAAATTTCTTTTTGTTGAAATATGTTTTCTTTGGTCCTGAAAGGGTTAATGTAATGCAGCTATGATGAAAAGATGAAAAATTTACGAGTCAACAAAATTATGAAAAAGACGTTTTAATATTCCGATATATCTGATGGTCTAAATTGATAGGACTTCGGCGCTCAAATTTACATTGCTTTTTTGTATAGCATAGTTAGAGTTTAGGGCCTTTTGATTCGGCTTCTCTTAAGAGCCTAACAATAAGTTTTCGAATCTTAATTTAAACATTTAACTTACATACCATACTTGTGATGAGCCGTTTCTATGCAAGTCATTCCTACGGAATATTGGCTTCTGTCGGAGTGTTCAGTTTGGGCGATTCAGCTCCAAATCGTCGATTTTTTTTGGGGTTCTTGCGCGTAAAATTTTATTTTGGGCGATTTTTTCCCTTCAAATCAATTTTTTGTGTGGGTTGTGGCTCTTAGTTTATTTCGGCTCATACTTATGGGATTCTCAAATTGTGGTGGACATTCTCGCTTCGGATATACCACGGTGGTCCGGTGATTGTTCGAAGGATTTTGGGTTGCGCACGACGTAGGATTTCGATGCCGCTACTGCTCGCGTTGCCCCGTAAGTCACTGGCGACTGTATGTCCAGCTTGGTTTTAGAACTGTATTCTATATAATCACTTTATACTCGAACCTCACGAGTGAGCGAGAGCTAATAAGCCAGCCTTCAACTTGAGATGAGTCCTTTGGCTAGAGGCCAAGTAAGTCGCCTGTCCTGGTGGACTAAGTCAAATGCGGCCAGTTGCTCTTGTTAAGCGTAAATTAAACTTGCTTACATATTTGCCTATGATTACCTAAGAACGCAGTCGCTTGCAGGGGGCACTTGGAGTAGTTGATTACTGCAATGTCAGCGGCAAAATGGAATACTGTCAGCTGGTCGTTTGTGAAAATATCCGAGGTATATAAAACATACAGCGTCGGGCCGAGGACACTGCCTTCTGGTACACCAGCTTCAACTGCATGGGCTTCAAAGATGATGGTGTCCGCTCGAACTACAAAATTTCGTTCATACAGCTATGACTTAAGCAGTTCGTGTGTGCTTTGCGAAGGGAGCATTTGTATTTTATAAGACCGTCTAGCCAAACTCAATCAAATGCTTGGGCGACGTAAAGAAATATTTCTGAGCCTCTTTTCAAATTCTTTACGGATTTTAGTTGTGACGCGTTTACTTGCTCGATCCTTCCACGCAGCATATATGTGTAAGAAGTCTTTCGAATAATTTGGACATGCACCATGGTAGGATGATAACCCTACGGGAGGCTGGCAGCGCTTTTCTTCTTGTCGGGCGTCGGTATCATCACAATAGTTGACTTTTTCTATTGTTGAGGGAAATGACAATGTTTTGTGATTGCATTAAATAGCATACAGATGCAAAGTGCAGCACAATTTGGGTGCTCAATAATACTTTTTGGAGTCATTAACTCATGCCCAGGGGTCTTATATAGTTTCACTTGCTACTTAATTACTTTTTAAATTTCTTCAGGTACAAATTTCAGCGACCAGATTCCGACACGATGATACTATAAAGTCATTAGTTCCTGGGTTTGGCCTGTAACCAGTTTGGAAATGAGCAGCAAAGGTGTTTGCTTTCGTTCACTCCGAGCCCATTTCCCATTATGGCCCCGTATTGGCATTTCAGCGTCCATTAGCGCTTTTCGATTTTGGTGTGCTTTCCACAAGTGGTATTTGTGCTAGCCGGTGAGAGCTTTTGAATGAAACGTTACTGTCGCTCGTGCGTAGTCGCCATCGGTAGTTGTTTTGAAGCTGGTGTTCTATAGTCTGCCATATCCGTCCCAGGTGTCGCTTTTCTAATAGAAGTATTTCAATTTTCTTATTATTTAATTAAATTATATTTCTCGCCTCCATATTAATACATTCATAGCTGGTATGGAGTTTTTAATATCGGCCAGGTATCTAAATTTGGGTCCTGCTTTATATACATAAATATATGCGCACTGATATATTTTTTATGCTTTAATCACTTTGTGACCCTTGGCGTGGGCAAAGAGGGTGACTCTTTTCCCTGCGATTGTTGCCATAAAGTGAAGAGCAGAGGTGAGTGGTCTGATGAGAGATCTGCACCTCGTTCTGTACTATTTAATAAGGCTGCGAAGAATTTTTCTTGTCACCGAAGCTTTAAAAAAATTCTGTCATGGGATATGATTGCTCTTAGGCAGCAAGTAATGAGCTAAGAGAGCTTTTATCATCTACACGCCCACACCAAATGCAAAGAAAGCTTAAAAAGCTCCGCCCGGCGATGTGGCAAGTGTCCCATTTGTGAGGCCATTTCGTGAAGTCCGGCGCTTATTCAATGAATCTTACCGAAAGAGAAGGGATAGAGTACTGCTCGTTACGCATGAAAAGCAGGTATAGAAACGCGCCTGCTATGCCTACAATGCCCATTATCTGTTCGTTTAAGTTGCTGCCTAGTATTTCTATATTCAATGGAA